ATTCATGCTCTTGAGGTATTCTTTGCTAGACCCGAATTCATAATACTTTCAGAGATCTCGGCAATGCGAGCTCTCCCAAAAATAAGTAATAATGAGAGCATGAAGGAACTCAATCTTTTTGCTTGCAAAGTACGCAGATGCACGGAAGTCGTGCGACTGCTCAACCGACCAGAGTATTTAGCGTCACCCGATTTGGCCAACGAGATCTTAACAAAATTTACGCCATTACTCAGGATCCGTTGGGCAGACTATGCAGCAAGCAAAGAGACTCTGGGCAAGTTTCGACTCGAACTACTGTCCGAATTTCTTATGCTCGAGGCGGAATTACGTGTTCGGTATGGAACCTATTCTGAACAAGTAAAGCCCGAACCGCCCAAACGTCAATGTCATCCACTGACGTTATGTCATAGTACCATAGACAAAGTTGCTATTTGTCCTTATTGCTCAAAGTCTCACGACATTGAGACGTGCAAAGAGTTTAGTTTAGCTACAGTAGAAGATCGATGGAAGTGGGTCATTGCTAACAAAGTCTGTTACAAATGCCTCCAAAGCAATCCCCATTTCTTTCGCCGCTGTACGCTTAAGCATTGTCAGGTGAAAGGGTGTAAGAGTAGATTAAGCCATAACTCCCTACTCCACAGAACCACCTCACCAACAAAGACTCGAAACGACACGAGTCCATCGAGTGACGATACAGCGCCGAGTTCGTCGGCAACCGTCACCCACAGTCGATCGCTCCCTACGTCCCAGCGTCCACTACTGAAGGTAGTTCCCGTCACAGTAGCCGGCCCTAAAGGTACTTTCGATACTTTTGCCTTGCTAGATGATGGCTCTACAGCCACCCTATTAGACTCGTCAGTAGCGTCCGCCATAGGTGCAAAGGGACGAAGAAGCCATATTAAGATCGATGGTATAGGAGGTATGTCAACTGAGTCCGATATATCCCTAGTCGACATCACAATCAAGGGACGTTATAGTACGGAGTGGCATTCTTTAGAAAATGTTCGTTCTATTCCTAACCTGAACCTTGGTCCACAACATATTGATCGCGAGTTTGTTAAAGGTTTACATTATTTATCTGATTTGGTCGATTTTATATGTTATGAACATGCTAAACCGATGCTTTTAATTGGTATCGACAACTGGAACCTCACCCTGCCCACAGAGATCCGCCAGAGCTCTAAGTCTCAGCCTGTAGCCGGTCTCACCCCTCTTGGTTGGGTCCTTTTCGGTTTCAGCTCGAGTAAAACCAAACCAATCGAGTTTGTAAACCATACCATTTCCACAACTGTGAATCCGTCAAACAGCTATGCATCGTTAGAAAATCTCATAAAAGAACATTACAAACTAGATTCTATAGGCATTGTAGCTAAAGATTATCGCATCCCTACTGAGCAAAGGGCGTTAGATTTACTAGAGTCCACCACTACTCGTCTTCCTTCAGGGCGATTTGAAACAGGTCTCCTATGGCGAGACAACTTAAAAGATGTGCCCAATAATTATAAACTTGCCTTGTCCCGCTTTAAAAGCCTAGAACGAAAACTCATAGGTGATAAGTCGCTTGCAGAATCATATAGGCAACAGATAAATGCCAACATTGTCAAGGGTTACGCAGAAATATGCATAGAACCTGCAGACCCCTCCAAAATCACTTGGTATCTGCCACATTTCGGCGTCGTACACCCACAAAAAAAGAAACTTAGGGTTGTACACGACGCAGCAGCCACTTTTGAAGGTGTTAGCCTCAATTCTATGCTTTTAGCAGGTCCCGATTTACTGCAACCTCTGTTAGCAATCCTGATGCGTTTTCGTGAAGGCCGCATCGCTCTCAACGGCGATATTCGGGAAATGTTTCCCCAAATTAAAATCCGGAAGGAGGACAGAGACGCTCAACGTTTCCTGTGGCGTAATGAACCATCCCAACCGATTTTGGAATACAGGATGTCGTCGATGATTTTCGGTGCGGTCTCCAGTCCGTGCACAGCTCTCTACCTGAAAAATAAAAACGCATTAGATTATAAAAAAGAATTTCCGATGGTCGCAGATGCCGTAGTTAACAACCACTACATGGACGATTACCTGGGTAGCGTCGACTCTGCAGATGAAGCAGCTCGTCTCGTAGCTGATATCGTAGAAGTCCACTCTCGCGCAGGTTTCGAGATGAGAAATTGGGTTTCTAATTCTAAAGAAGCTCTTACCTTGATTCCTCGAGATCTATGTGCCACAAACATCTTAGAGGTAAATCTCGCAAACAATGCTCCAAACCATAAAATTCTCGGAGTGTCTTGGAACATCGTTGATGACTCTCTAGGCCTTTTGCGAAGTTTACCCCCTATCCATGAGTCTTCTAAGTGGACTAAGCGCCATGTCCTATCATTACTAATGCAAGTATATGACCCTCTAGGCTTGTTGGCTCCTATTGTCATAAGAGGTCGAATTCTTTTTCAACAAACCTGGAGGCTCGGTATCAACTGGGACGATCACTTACCATCCGAAATTCTATTAAAATGGAAACATTGGTTTGAGCACTTATCAAATCTCCGCCAAACTTCTATTCCACGCTGCTACACAACATGTGAGTGGACGGAAAAACAACTCCATGTCTTTGCTGATGCTAGCGAATACGCATACTCCTGTGTAGCGTATTGGCGTTTCATAACGCCCAACGATTGCAAAATAAGCCTTATTGGTGGAAAAGCGAGGTTAGCTCCTCTAAAGCCAGCCTCCATACCTAGATTAGAGCTCCAGGCAGCTCTGATCGCTGCTCGTTTTTGTAAATATTTAATAGAGGCTCATAAACATAAGCCTGTCAAAATTTTCCTTTGGTCAGATTCTTTGACAGTTCTCAAATGGCTTCGTAGTGATGCTCGCAATTTTAAAGTATTCGTTTCACATCGGGTTGGAGAAATTTTAAAACTCACAGACATTTCTTGTTGGAAATATGTTCCAACTCATCTGAATGTTGCTGACGACGCTACGAGGCCACAATCAAAATTCGAAATTTCACGATGGTTCTCCGGGCCACCCTTTCTATTACTCGGTCAAAATGAATGGCCTGAGGAACCTTCCACAAATGTGCGACTAGGCCCCGAAGAAATGAAATGTGATCGAGAGCTAGTTGCACTAACAACAGATAATTCTCCGGAACTATCCCCAGTAGTAGCTAATCACTGTCGTTTCAGTAATTGGTTACGTCTAGTTCGCGCTACAGCTACTGTTGCTCTCGCTGCTAGGTTTTTTATACATTTATTGTTTCGTAAGATAGGGAATAGGGTTGACGAAGCCCCTTCTCGACGGCTACAAGCCTCAGATCTAGTCGCATCAGAACTCCGCTTACTCTTGCGTTCCCAACTAGACTCCTTTGGAGAAGAACGTCGCCTTATTAAAGCCGAAAAGCCCTTACCTTCTAGAAGTCGTTTGAGACGGCTAACTGTCACCTTGGACGATTCCCAAATATTAAAATTAGCAGGGAGGACAAGAGCCTGTGCGGGTTCAATCACTACAAGCAACCCCATTGTGCTCGACGGCAAGCATCCCATCGTAAAACTTCTAATAAAACACCATCACAACAGAGCAGCACATGCGAACACAGAATTAATTGTCAACGAATTACGACAGAACTATTTCATCTTCGGTATACGTCCAGCCGTAAAGAAAGCCGCCAACGAATGCATGATGTGTCGCCTTCGTAAAAAGAACTCACCGACCCCACCGTTCGGTGATCTACCTGCAGAACGGATGGCTCATAGCGTACGCCCATTTTCCTTTGTTGGGCTAGATTATTTCGGGCCAGTTACTGTATCCATTGGCCGACGAACCGAAAAACGCTATGTGGCACTCTTCACTTGCCTGACAGTACGAGCCATCCACCTAGAAATTGTTGGCAGTTTATCCTCGGATGCGGCAATCATGGCTCTACGTCGCTTTATATCAAGGCGTGGATGCCCAATTAAAATTTACTCAGACAACGGGACAGCCTTCGTCGGAGCAAATAATATACTGAAGCAACTCTACCATGACGACGTAGTCAATGATGCTGCCAATAAAAGGATCCAGTGGCACTTCATTCCACCTGGGGCACCCTTTATGGGCGGATGTTGGGAGAGGCTGGTCCGAAGCGTAAAGACAGCTCTCTCCACAACACTAAAAGAAAAATCCCCACGAGAAGAGGTTCTACACACACTCCTCCTAGAAGCCGAAGCCTTAATAAATTCAAGGCCACTCACCCACGTCTCCGTAGACCCTAATGACGAAGAAAGTATAACGCCATTTCACTTTCTAATTGGTTTCTCCTCTCCCCACCAATCATTCAGAGAGATGGATGAACGCGACCTTTTCCGATGAGTAAATTGGAAAAGGGGCCTTCGTCTCGCTGACCAGTTTTGGGCTAGATGGTTGACGGAATACCTCCCCACGCTGATTCCGAAACGACCAGGAGAAAAGCCAGATTTTAAAGTCGTAGACCCGGTTCTCATTGCCGACGGCAACCTCCCGCGCGGTTCATGGCCACGGGGCCGTATCTTAAAAACATTCCTCGGTCCCGACAAAACGATCCGTGTGGCAGAGGTCGCCACCAAAGGAGGTATCCTCAAGCGCCCAGCCCGAAAGTTGGTTCCTCTACTAGACCGCCAGCATGTCAGCTCAAACTAAACCGGTGCTCACACCGCGGGGCGCCATGTTGCTGACGTACTGGCCATATACTTTTATACTTCATATATTGTATTTTTCTAAAGAAATTTATTATATATTTTTTGTATACAGAACTTTAATATCAAATAAACATTGTGACAGACAACAACAACTGTAATATATAGTATGTAATGTATATAGAGTTGTCTTCAATTCCTTACAAAATACTTCAATAGTTAGAACAGGTATCTACTTTAGTCATATCTTATACCCTACCTTTCCTCTGCATTTTAAATAATTTATTATTTTATATAAAATTCACATATTACCTCATCACACAGTTTTCCATCACAGATCACTGAATTTTCCAGGATGTGATTCGCCTCGAAACCCAGTACTGGTCGCTGGTTGAGATTCCACGACAAGAGAAGGCGGAGACAGTTCCAGCATTTGTGCTCCGTGCATGCGCCATCATGGAGAAGACACAAAAGTCTGGAGAAGGTGTGAAGACATCTTCAAAGCTGGCGGAAGAGGCGGCAGATAGAAGGGAGCGGATAGAGAGATTAAATGGTAATGTATTATTTTTATTACAACGTGAGCTGTAAGCTAGTAATTACAAAGATACGATATTTGCAAGAATTTATATTTCATTTTTCTTTTTAACATACTTGCTCGTAACCGCGACTTAATGTATTTTTTAAAGATAGATAAACAATCATCATAAATGCGTTATGATAACAAATAGGTGAACAGGCAGTTATACTTCTGAATGCAAGTATTTATAAAATTAAAGATTTAATTAAACTAAACTTATAAACTATTATAGATAGGGAATCGTATTTTATTTCACATCTTCTATTCTTTAGATTTCATTATGATTTCTTTTTAAGTTGTAACGGACCCTTTGTTTCATTCTCTGGTGTGGACGCAGATCTGTGTTTTAAATAAAGATTCGCAGAAATCAAAAAACCGCATGGTATTTCCAACGGGAAACGATTTCGAAATCAATTAAAGTGTCTTCTTGAATCCAAATTAAATATTGTGGGAGCCCATGAGCTCCCTTCTAAGTATGAATTAAGCACGAATAATAAAACGAATTGAGACGCAAACCGTGCCGTCGGGGGATTGGACTGGAAACTGAGCTAGGGTTGGGTAAATGTAGTTTACATTCAATATTGGTATTAGTTCTACGGCTTTGCCGATATACCCAGCAGTCTACAGACTTTTATAGCAAGTCTATTATATATTACTATTGTTATATTGGCATTTGATTTTAAAATAGAAAATAAAATAGATAGAATAATGCTTATACGATAAGGTAGCTTTTTGTCCCTTATTATTCATCACAGTAATGTTCTTTGTAATTGTTATATGGTGCTATAAAGACTTTATAAATAAATAGAATTCTTTTATTAATAAATTATAAATTTTATCTGTAATGGTCAGAAAAAGTATAATCTCAATTTGATTAATTTACTGCGTGTGATTACAGTATTTTGTTACGTTTGATAATGGAGTTAATTTTGTTTCATATTATGCTAGTTATCTCTTTTTTCATCCCAAATTAAAATATTAATTTTTATTATTATTATATTACACCATTTTATTTGGAAACAGCTCTTCGAAATTCTTCTCGGTAGAAACTAAATTCCAAATTAATCAGAATTCACCTGTTATATGTAGTAGTAGTAGGTTTAATTTTAATCCTGTAAGAGCAAAGATACTTTAATTTGATTATATGAACTATATGTACTTACATCTTTCAGTTAAAAGAATTTGGTTTAATATTTAAATAATATAATTATATATCTTTTATATTAGATAATAAAGGTAACCCTGGTTGATGTGCCACATTTATTGACGTTAAGCGTCACGTATACGTGAAACTTTGCGGGTGACTTGTACTTTGAAATCTTGTACAAATTTTTATCTCAATATTATGGATGGAATACTTGGCCTTGCTTCTTTATTGCCTTTGTTTCAAATATTAAATGATTAATTAAATTAAAATATTTTACTTATTTATTAAAGTATAGACAAGTACTGACTAATAGTATATATTTAATATAGATACTAAATAATATATGTACCTATATATAAATGATTATGATAATATGATATAATAATAATATGATAATCAAGCAAATTAAAATATCCAGATATGACAACATCTCAAATAGAAGCCGAGAATACGCAAATGACAAATGATTTATACCGACTTCTGAAAAAATATACTGGATTGCGGAATCTCATCAGGGAACTCAAGGTACAGTGAATATTAGCCTATTTATTTAATTATATCCTTTTATCGTATAAAAGTTTAGCAGGTATATAATGTTCCAAATCTATAATTGGCATTAACTTTATATTAGATGCATATTGTTATAAATACATTTCGGATGCCTATCTTATTATATCTGTGATGATTACCTATATCCAGTTTTATTATTAAGAATATAAATTACTAATTAACTTGATTGAAATTAATATATGCTCCAAATTTATATTAAGTGATGTATATATAATTATATACATCACTTAATATAAATTCTGATTACTCTCTAAATTTTGTGTATGATCTGATTTGAAAGGTTCCTTAGGTGAATCGTATATAACTCAAAATTGAAATTTAAGAAATAAAAAGCTCTTTCTTAACAACTACTATTATACGTAAATTATAGTAACGTGATATTTATTATACTAATGTAGAATTAAATGGCTAATAATAAATTTCTTTCCTAATATTATAAAACTATTCTTCTTACTTCGAACAATCTTCACGATAAATCTCAATTAGGGCAAAGGTAAAGAAATCGCAATAGGCAGACAAAGTTCCTTTCGCCACAATAAAAAAAGTAGTCCGAATAAATAGTTTATTATTTCTTTTTTTTTTTTTTGTAGTATAAAATATCAGTGTATTCGACTAAATACTATAAATTCTAAATAAGTTTGATCTACAGGTAAATTGCTCATATTCAAAATATCATTCTTGTCTGTAGAGCATAAGTTGTTGGCATTTGTTTGAGAATCTAACATATAAATTTGGTTTTATTTTTTCCTGACATTTTAATATTGAAATGTTAATATCCGGCATTTAAAAAGTCAACTATGTTCTTCTTTAACTAACACGTGTACATACCAAAATTAGATATTACACTATAAAAAGAAACAAATTTCTATTATGTTTCAGTCAGAGTACGTCAGCTCGAAAATATACCCGATGTTTCCTCGGTACACTATGCTGAAAGATATGATCAAGGACATCATGCATGATCCCGATTACATGGAAGTCTGCCATGAGGTTGACCCATAGCGCGGGGTGCGCAAATAAATGAGGCACTCCTTCACCGACCGCCAGAGGTCGAGTCGTCGCTAGCAGGATGAGGCAATCACGGAAGCAAGAGCAAGAAAAGTTGTCACCGTCTACCACTTAAATTGCAATGTTTGAATACAATTTCTAATTACTGACAGTAGAAGAAAATTGACCGGGATGTTATGACGGGAAAATAGCTATCCAATACACTTAAATTCTGTGGTGATTTATTTTTTATAAATACTTCTTAACCTCTTGACGTAATCGCCATATCAATTTGTAGGTACCTTTTTTGTGGTACTCCTTTATATTAAATTAAAACGTTTAAGTAATGGAAGTGGAAATACTTTTAACAGTTGCTGTTATTTCTTTCCTAAATTCTACCTGATGCTACTTATTAATTTGATTAGTTTTTAAACATGATCTCTATTTATAAAGAGTTTTCACTTAGCTAAGTAACATTTTGTAACTTTGTAGTAAAGTTCTCAGAACGAAAATAATGGGGAGAAGTAATACGAAGTTTATTGTAAACATTTGTCATTCTTTTCAATATCTTCCCCACAGTGAAAATGTTCAATGGCTAGATCAATAAACGTTTTAGTCAATTGAGTGAACTACTGTCAGTTTTCGGAACAATTCTTGTAATTGCATGGTGTGTGTTCACAGACGGATGTTTAGTGTCAGCTAGCGGCGGGTAGTGTGACGAGTACTCGTTTATTTTGCGCTACTTTGTTCATTGGACTTGTTTAAGTGTAAGTTTAGATTCGGGTTTAGTGTTCACTAAGTACTCGTCCTTCAACACCTAGTATCACTTTGTTTCACATTCGTTTTTTCTAGAGTTCTACGTTACTTTTGTGATATAGAATTTATGTTTGTAATTGTAATTTTATTTATATATAGTAGAATTATTCTCCTATTTACACTAGGTGGCATCAAATTTGTTAAAAGAATTGATTAAATCAATCAATAAGTGTACCTATCTATTTGTCATAAAATATATTTATAATCTTTGATATCAAGGTAAGATAAGTGTAAAGGTTATTTTTAAGAGTTATGTTATACACATATGCTGCTTTTCATTTCAATATTGCGACACAAAATTTTTTAAACTGAATTGACATTAAAATTTACTTCCCCATTTTCAATCTTCGAGATTATCGATGCCACCTTGTATATTATTATGCTTAATGTGTGTGCTTTGTAAACATATATAAACTTAAAACATAATCACTATTAACCGATCTAAGTAGTCGTATTTCTCATAATATCCGTTCTTATACTCTTGGCATATCGATACTACATATGAAATTTCTATCCTTATACCTATCATACTTCAGCTTTAGACTGTATTTACCTATATTGTAAACGTGTGTAGTTATTATGAATTGAATGTATGTGCATACGGATAAAATTGCCATTGTATGTGTTCAACATTGAAATAGTAACTGATATATAAAATTAGTATATAATAATACCAGTGTTATTGAAAAATGTATAAATAAATGATGAGATCTGTATATTTGAAAAGATGTTTTTTATGGTATGTAAAATTAATAACTGTTTTTTTTTATCTTAACAACATACTATTACAATATATATATATATAACCTGGTTAACTGTATATTTATTATATAAGTACATATCTGTAATTAATTATGACATGTATTTTTTTTTATTATATAAGTATTTTTATAATATAATATATCACCTATGAACTGAAAATTGTTATATATTGTAACTATATATATGAATACCAAAACTTCTTATAATACGGTATTTTTTTTATGTCAACGATGACTAATATGCCATATTATTGACATTATTTTATTAATAGAAAAAATTAATAATGTATAGTATAATTTTTTTCAAAAGTTATAGTTTATAAAATTAGTATTTATGTATTTCCGTAAGTAAGTAGGTATATGATTAACTTTCTCTGAATATTCCAAATTTCGTATAAGTATGTATTTATAACAACTGTGATTGTGGATACAATTAATTTTATAATTATTTACAATTCGACTATTAATAAATATCTTACTTAATTTTTTATTTAATCAAAATTATTCACATATCTCATACAAAAAGAAAACAATTTTATAATATATAAAAGATAATAAAGATATTTGTCTTAAAAATGTTAAAGCCAAATCTTGTAAATAAGTAGATAATAAAAAATAATAACGTTAGTGTTTAAATTAAATTAATATTATATTGTAACGCTTTATGCAATATTTGTATGTATAATAAAAACATGAAAGCAAATAGTGAGGCCAATACAGTAGAATAGAAAAAGTACAATAATATAATAAATACTTTGTTCATATTATAATGGATTCTTTTATTATATAAAATTGTATTATAAATTAAATACACGTGATTCTGTAACGATAACTTTACTTTGTTATCCCCCAGAGTTCTGTAGAATATTAACAGACAGATTTATATTGCCTTTTGATTTAGTTATACGTTGTGCCCTATTCATTTTTATAGTCTTGTCGTATTAATATTGTAAATTTAAAAAATATGTAGTTAAAATGTTGGTGACGTTTTACCACAGCTAAGATAATATATTTATTATGGAGTATTTCTAAATATCGCTATATACATGGTTTACAACACATCAAGTATCTATCTTTGAATATATATAATAATGGTTAATAATTTAATAATACTAGTAATCCTACTGACATAAAATTGATAGTACTTAAATGTAACTCGAGACTGAATTATGCATTTCGATGATCGAATAACACCAGCGTAAAGTTCAATGGGAACATTACTTCCATTACTTCAATATAATCCATCGTGACATTAAAAAAAATAAATGCTAAAGAAATAGAACACACGGCTTTGTATTACAACTGACATTCAGATAATTATTTCCTGATTTAAATTTAGAATAGGTCAACATGGCGTTCTGATTAAAGATTCAATGTCGAAATTCAATTTCATTTAAGGACGAAATATAAAAATGTCACAGAATGTCAGTAGTACTATTATGAATATATCTTTATATAGGTATTATAGTAAATATAGCTTTACTGTTATCGTGTAATAAATGATACTGCCATTGGAGTAAGATGGTTAGTAAATAAGTTGTAAATTAATATTAACTATATTATAATGTGAAATATAATCAAAAGTGGCTTGAAAGTTCTAGTCGTTATATATGTGCACATGTATATTGCGCTTAATAACTAAATATTGATCTTTATAACTGCTCAAAACAAATCTATGCTTATTTTTATCTACCCAGCCTACTCTGTATCAGTCTACCTATCATAATATACTGAAATATTCATGAATATAATTCGACTGTGTATATAATTGAGATAACTTAGTTATTTTCATCTTCGAGTTTAATAATTTATAACTTCATAAGTATACAATCAAATTTAACCTACAGCGTTTTAAGACTAGGTAAATCCTCATGCCATGGTTACATATTTAAATATTACTATCTGATGCATCCTGGTTGGATATAGAATTAAATTTTAATCTCAATTTCATCTTTAAAATATCGATTAAAAATATTACATACTATATAGTCAATAAAATAGTATGTAACTTTAAATATAATATTAAACACCAAATAGTTAACGTAAATACGAGTACACATATTTGAAAACTGAAGGTTATATAATGAAGATTTTTTTCCATTATTAATTATGTTACTATAAATATATATCTCTTTTAAAATGTAAAACTATAGTAATATATATAAATATTCTATGCTATGCACTTTTTAATCCCAATATTCATAATAGAAAATCGTTCTCTGTCCCTTTGCTATTAGGTATGTCTTGTTTTTACAATTACTACATATATAAATACTACATACACATGTAGTAATATTTATTCTATGCTATTAGAAAGGAACATATACCTTATATAACAACCTATTTATCTAGATTTATATTTTAAGGTTCCTGTCCATGTATATTTATAATATGATTATCATAGATACTGAAACTATTCGTATAAACTTACATGTTAATATCATGTCGCTTGCCGTAGTTATACATGTTATTAGTGTATGTGTAATTGTTTTAGGTACTCTATTGTTTATATTGCCAAAAAAAAATTTGTAAAAAATATACTATGCACCATAAAATGAGATTTACTTTGATGCCAAAGTTGATTAGGTATTAAATATTAACCGGATTCAGAACAACAAATAATCAATAGGTGACACTAGGTACCTAATTCAAAATATTTCACAGTATTGTATTTTTTAATTTATATTAATGAATACTCAATATTATTAATTGTGTCCCTTGTCTGTGAAAAATCATATATAGCAAGCTCTACTTAGTATATATGGTGCGGTCTTATTATCTAAATCAATCGTTATTTTCTCTTGAAGTTCTCATATTTTACCTTTAAACGACTTCCGAACCTAAACTCAAATGTAATATCGAAACAATGATGGGGAGTGCCCTAGATCGTCTCTTGTATAGGCAAATCAAAAGGGCCAATTATTGTGTAGTAGGCTTTGTTCTCTTGTGTAGCGACATCGAAGTTGATTTCACGTCAATGTGCCCGCCATCAGATTTACCCCGACCACTGCTTCAATATTTCCCTGATTTTTGGTTCGTGTGTAGATCGTTTTATATGCGATTATTTGCGTCTAGAATAGGATGTTTGTAACCAATGGTGTAATGTAGCAATAATTTTTTTGCCAGCCTTGAAATTGTATAGGGGCAACATATTTTGTAGTGTCTGCATGTGTAGTGTTTTCTTTGTCCTATGCTATTGTGGTAGTTAACTAAAGAAATAACCAAATATACTAATATATACTCCATGTCTATGTACTTGGAACAACTTTTAACATAATCCTTAACGGATTATGAAAGAGGTCTCATAGTAACTCTACTAATCGATATTTAAATTAGATAATTAATACACATTTTTAGAAATGTATGTTGCCAATAAATATAAAATTGAATGCAAGGCATTGTGTTAGACGTGTATGTTACCTTATAGGAATTATTGGAGCGATGTCGCGGATGTTTAAACGCTTTGTTACATGAAATGTAATACAATATTTTTTGGGCTACACGGGATTGTTTCATTTTATGCGTCAACATATTATTATAAACATCGATCATTGTTAAGAATTGTAGACCAGTTTCTTCAAGTAGCTCATCTCGAGCTAATTGTCACTTGTCCTCAGTACAAGTAACCTTACAATTATTGTATATGTTAGATTTAGTTGATCATCGTTTCCTTTTCCTTATCCTATATCATTTGGGGTCGATATAATATCTCAAATCCATATTACTTAAATAATTATTCTGGCTTTAATTTTACGCAGTTACAAGTTGCAGGGATTGGCATATGACAGTAGCCGCACCAGTTCGGTAGACCGAGGGTGCCCTCAGCCTCCCGAAAAGATATCAAATAACCTTATGTCCTTATTCGAACTCTAGATTTATAGAAAAAAAATACCTCAGATTAATATATATGTAGTAGATCTTATAATATTATTAATTTTTAATTGCACAAATGTGAACTTGCAGAGTAAACTTTTGTTTTAAAAGAACGACAGTGGAATTTATTATTAGTCTCTCTCTTCTAAACTTCATTTATAAGATAAGTGATTCAATAAAAATTAAAGTTCTCTCTCCAGCAAAACAGTTTTTCTTAATTTTATAGTTACTTACTGGTCACTTTGAGAAACATTTCCTGAGGCGACATCTATTATCAAAATGACTAAATATGTGCTCTAATTCTATTCACAATGCTGCGACGTGTGCTTTTTAAATAGTTGTTATATTCATGTGTCAAGATTCCTACTAGATGGCGCCATACAGTATTTTTTGATAGAGGATTTAGTGTTTCCATCATAACATTTTTACTATAAATAAGGAAAATTAGTAAATTGATAGTATTTTTTTATACATTTTGATGTCACCTGGTATAAATATAATGTCAAGAAAAAAAAATCTAATTTATTAATATCATAATTAGGTAGAATTCTATTAAAATAAGCAAGCAAAAGTTGTTCTAGATATACGTACATGACGGTAAAACATATTACTACAACAATCGAAAGCTCAGTAAAATACTTCTAACTAAGTAGGTATATACTTCAATGTTTTTGAATACAAATTTCAGTAATCCAATTGAATGTCTAATCATATTTTAAGAAAGTTTAATATGACAGAGCTATTTATTTTATATTACTTAATTTTTCATACAAACAACAAAAAATATATGGGCATACAATTTACTTTGGAAGATAAATACGCCATTTGAGATAGTCATTCCGAAAATTAATGACAAGGCAGCTAGCAAATTAAAAGTAGTTACATATACGGTACTAGTGGTAATAGTTTAAATAGTAGTAATATAAGTAACTATTGCTAAAAAAAATATATTGACTTTGATAGATACTTTGTTCATAAAGGTTAAATTACTATGGGGAAGGTGTATTTGAGAATACTGCAACACTGACGCTCGTAAACGTAAACTCATTCATTCGGCCGGGGATTGCGGTTGCTGTTTGACTTATGTAGAGATTCACTCGTAATGGCGGGAATTCGTCTTTATGAAAAGTTTCTTTCAAACTTTTTAACTTAAATACAGTCAATTATAATTTATTTAATACAAAAAAATATATGAAAAACTGCATAACAATCAAAACAAAACGCCATGTGAAAGTTCACCGGTCAGGATGTCGGTTAATTCAAAGTGGCGGTTACCTGACGTTTTTTGTGTTGATGTGTTGAATGAATGTTGGAATTACGTTTATAATTCGCGTCTCAGGGATGAGTGAATAAGTGAAGCGAAGTGTTTCGGGACGTATCAAGATGCCTTTCGTGCATCGTGTCGTGGAGCCTAAGTATTTGTCGCGTACGAGTCTGAGAGATGAAGACGGGAAGCCGAAGGTTAACGATGAAGAGTTGCAAGCTGTGACGAACTGCACCCTCAGCAATGCATTACGGCAACTCGCGTCGCTCGTGCTCTTGGCCGAGGATATATTCAGCGAGTTGACTTCGCAACTTGAGGGCATCACAGAGAGATCAAAAGTGGCGCAAACGAAAATCGGAAAAATAAATGAAATAGTCGAAAACTATGATCCCAAGAAAGTTCCAGTCCGTAAGTATTAATGTTATATCTTATTGTAAATTTAAACTATACCTAGTTACCACGTGTTAGTCAAGGACCTTATAAGCTCAACGTTTCATTAAAAATTTAAATTTCGTTCACATAACCTTCTTGACGTCATTGGCTAGCAAATTTCTTGATGACCTTGATGCGCAGGTAAGATTAATAAAATAAGCATCGTCTGATATAATAAATATGTCGAAATCGCACACCGTGCATTTGATTTCATTTAATTGACTTCGACTTCACAACACGATAAAGGTTTTTATTTATTTATTGATTATCTGCACAAAAACAAAAGTACCACATTGTCAGTCCGAAGCAAGTAAAACATACTGTCATGCCATAACCACTTAGGTCAAATGTCATAATTGCTATTTATTTTGTCACAATCAATTGTTGTTGTCAATTCTTTGGTTTCCATAACAATAATAGTCAAACATCGTCCAATGTAAAAGTTCTAGACCAGACGGTAAAGTATAAAAGTATCCCATTGTAATCGTCATTATATCAACAGAAATTACCTACTTAATCTTGGATTTATCTAGATTTATTCTATTAGGACTAAGTTTATATATATCATTTAATTTTTGCGATATAAGCTTACCACCTAACTAACATTAATAATATTTTGGAGCCGTCTATATAGTTTGCTGCCAGATTTTGTGAATTTATTATTATTACTTATGCGTCAATTAATTTGATTCAGTGTGTAATATAACGGAACCTATAATTTACCTTTATACAATAAACGTCTAAATGTTTTTATCAATAATTCGACTCTTTATGGGTATCTAGTTTTAATATTAACAATGTTGCCGGTCCTCATAGTGGCGCCAAATTCTTTACACTATGTTGTAATTTACACTTTAATAACTTTAGAATTAGAGGTGTAATACACATTATTTCTTTGTTTAGTTCGCTTATGTGTTTCAACACATGACAAAGCTAAAAGCTTTTTTAATAACTCATTTGTATTAACAAATGTTGGACCATTGTTCCTTTTGGTCGAAAATTCAATTTTAGTTTTAAATTTTAGGTCTTGTTCTATTCTGGATCTCGCTCGGTTTTCTGCATTGTTCGCTTAAATGCGATCTTTTAAAGATTTCTCAGCTCTGATGTAGTTATGTACCACGTACTTGATAAGGTATATTTTTATATCCAACTAGTATCTAAAGATAATGTACGTAGTACAAGATTGCACGTATCTATCAAAGATGTTGAATGTACTTGTAGACAACATATACCAAGGCAGCTCTGCTTCGATTAAATTAATGCTCATTGAATAAAACGGCCGTTCCGAAACCTCATTACCTCGTACTCCTTGAATATACCGCCTATACAAAAACGTTTCAACTTGATGCATTACTGAGCGCTATCTAAAAACCTGTTTGGGCGTTCGAACGGGCCCGAGATGGGAAAAAACTCCCAGATTCCAATGCGGACCATAAAAACATCCCGAGATAATTTCAAACTCATCCAAAGCTGTATGCTCGTTGCCCGCCGATACCGACCGTTTAATGCCTACTTATTGAAAATTGAAAAGTTAATTGTGTACTGCATTAATCTATAAAATTAGGTACGTTATGATTATATCTACCAATAGTGATGAACATCTTTAGAATATTCTGATCTGCTCTTGAGATTAGACCTATCTACGTGAATTGTATACCAACTTATCTACTTATTCTTTGATTCGCGTCTGTCTTTCTTTATTCCATTCTATTTCTAAACAGTCGCTCACAGTTGGCGTTGACACTTGATATAAGTGCATTGGCCATGGCGTGAATACAAAGAGAAAATAACTTACTAACCTATGGAACATTTAAACAAACAGACCTCGACAGTAACTGAGAACGGCGTCGTTGGTTTGTAAATACCGCAATTCATTTGACAACCTTTCACCTGGACGATAAGCATTAAGTGTTGTCGCAGTCTCATCCGACGTTTTAGAGAATCATTTTTTCTTTTTACAAACATTCTCTATTTATAAAAGACTAGTGTGTGCTCTACGTACAGAATAGTAAATAAAATATTGTTTATTTCCAATATCCTTGTTTTTTATTAAACATGCTTGAAATTTATCGTCTGTCATAGGTATTTGATCAAGTAAAGCAGTATAATTATATATTTTGGAGCCCTGGCCACATTTGCGCAAATGCTACCGAGTTCGTTACCCGATAATGTTATCAGTTTTCGTCAGAAGTAGGCAACGGGTTCATGTCGTAAGAATTAATTAGGCACTTGCGAAATTTATTTGCCAATCAATGCCGAAATATCCTTTAGGTATAGTAAAACTATATTTTATTGAATAATTATATGTGAAAATATAATTATTCAATAAAAATGCATTTAGTATAACTCCTTGAATAAGAAACACCTCAATCCTCTCAAAAAGCAACATTATTAGTAAAATTGTTTGTAATTTTATTAAAAATGGTCCTTTTTGTCTTATTAAGCAGAAGTTTTTTAGATGCCATTTTGGATATTCCCACCTTAATATTTACTCCCACGATTCTAATACTTTTATTGATCTTAAGTATATTTATGCTTGGAATACTGGTATATATACGGGAATTTGAATATTTTTTTTTCTCTAAATTTACGGAATAGTTTTAAAACATTAAGGTTAAGTTATTTCAACTTTTCTAAATTGCAGAACAACAAGTCTGTCTGTCTGCTTAACCTGCATAATAAATAGCACACATACAGTAATTTGTCTGTGTGTGAACTTTATTTAATTTTTATCTAAACAATCTTAATCCCAAGAATGGTCATAGACAACGGAAGCATAAATTCGAATGACATTAAAGTTATTTTCCAAAAACAAAATCACCTTATAAACGTCTTTCGTGTTATCCATATAATTAAATAGGTAAGTCGACAGGTCATAAACTGACTCTAGATTACTTGTAAAGTAGACATTTTATTACAATACTTTCATATTACATAGTCATAAAGGTTTAGTCGCCTGTACTTAATGCATCCAAGTCTATAAAACCAAATTAATGTTCTGATATAGCTAATACGTTTTGTAGAAAATTGATAGTGTAGGATGTAACCCTGGTACCATAAATCAATGTTCTTCTGTATTATTCGAATTAAGTATCGTACCTAGTTCCCGTTGCCCGCATCTCATATGAGATGACATTGAACTAGTTAACTAACCAACAGTACTCGTAGTTACTTATAATTTCAAGTAGGTATGTCACAAATTGTAGGTACTTAATGTTGATTTTATTAAATAATTTAGTAAGTATATCAGTAGGTATATTTTAATAAATTCTGGATAGATTAATGTCCGATTCATTAATAAATAAATAATATATATCTGTAACTAAAGAATTAATTTTAGCTAATTTTATTTCAAATTAGATTAAAATATGCAGTAACCATTGTTACAGTTATCAAATATCAGAAAAATCTTAGCCAACAACGTTACGCAATATTTGACATGTTAAAGATTTACAACATTTAGAGACTTATTTTATTTTAATGTCTAAATTATTAATACACAATGATAAAACAGGACGACAAACTTAATACTGACCATTAGATTATAAATTACCGGTATGACTTACGGATAATAATGACTCTGATGTTGAGGAAATAAGATTTTATCTCCCAGATGGGAATTACACATAGTTTGCACTGTAATAACAGTGTTACTAATTCATTGATGTAAAATAAAGTTCATTTCGACTGCTTGGAACATGTCTCATGTGTCAATCTTAATAAGTATCTCGAAAATACATTGCGTGTTCAACAAGCCGTCATAGACGGACATGCCAAATTGGGATGGCTACAAATGACAGTCGTTAAAACAACCGTCGAAAATTTTATAGTGCTTCATTTTTATGACACTACAATGTAACACGCAGATGAACAAAAAGCTTCACAAATAAAAATACAGATAATTTCGAACATTAAACTATAGAATTACTTACTGAACGATACTGTAAAGCAAACTCATATGTTACTTAAAATACATTATAATTTTTGACATATTAAAATATTTTTATTATTTAATTAATAGACACGCCGAAACTGTTGAAAAGGCCAAGTTGAATTTTGTCATATTAAAAATTTTAAGCCCTAGCCCTACAATTATTACACTAAGTCTCAATCAGTGACCACATCCATAAAAAAGATTTTTCCTACACATAGGTATAATATTTCAATCATAGACTTTCAAACAGTTCGTAGATAATCAATAGAAGAAAATTTTGGAATTATGTCTTTCCAAATTCTTCCAATAAATTAATGAGCGGAGTGGGAAAACAGTAAATTTCATAAACATACCATGTTTCTGAAACTCACGTAGTAAAATATTTAATGAGTCAGTAAAGCTTTAAAAATTCAGTTGACTCCTACTTATACATTCATACCAGCACTTTATTATTATCGATATTAATATGAATTGTATTTATTATTTATTTTTATAAATATTGTGTGTTGTATGTACTTTTTAGTTTTACAGTACGTTTGTAATAACAAACCATCTATGTAGCCTATGAATATTTTTCTAGAACCATTTGTTTTATTTTTGTATCTACTTGATTTTTTATTTTTGATTACTAATAGAAATGTAATTATATTTTTAACAAATTCATTATAAAATTTTAACAATAATAATATATAAGATATTGTTTAAATGGATTAAATTGTTTAAGATTTAAATCATTATATATTCTTATAAACATTTTAAATATGTAATAACTTAAGTATGTTTTGCAGACAGTCAGCCCTCGTATTCATAATCTGGGGGCATTGGTGTCGCCTTTCATCCCCGATAGCCTTTCCTCGCAGCGGTATTATTTTGCAGGCTATTCGATAACTGCAGTCGAACCGCATTAAGCAAGTCTTCGTCGGTAATCCGAACCCCAGCTTAAATCTAACGGCTTTGTACCTAATACTTTATGCCTGAATAAGTTAGGAAAAATAATACGCGCTGTGATATAAAACTGGTTTAGAGCCTGTTTGAACTGACA